GAGTTACCTCTGCTGCAGAGGATAAGTTCATTAGAGTTACCAGCCTCAGAAATTGCAGCCCAAATAAATGCTTCACAGAGTTCAAGTAACATGAACTGTTCAGAGGAGACTGTGTGAATCAGGACTTCATGGTCGAATTGCTGCAAAGAAACCACTACTAAAGGACACCAATAAGAAGAAGAGACTTGCTCGGGCCAAGAAACACGAGCATTGGACATTAGACCGGTGGAAATATGTCCTTTGGTTTGGAGTCCATATTGGAGATTTTTGGTTCCAGCCACCGTGTCTTTGTGAGAAGCGGTGTGGGTGAACTGATAATCTCCGCATGTGTATTTCCCGCCGTAAAGCATGGAGGTGTTATGGTGTGGGGGTGCTTTGCTGGTTACACTGTCTGTTATTTATTTAGAATTCAAGGCACACTTAACCAGCATGGCTACCACAGCATTCTGCAGCGATACGCCATCCCATCTGGTTTGGGCTTAGTGGGGACTATCATTTGTTTTTCAGCAGGACAATGACCCAACACACCTCCAGGCTGTGTAAGGGCTATTTTACCAAGAAGGAGAGTGATGGAGTGCTGCATCAGATGACCTGGCCTCCACAATCCCCCGACCTCAACCAAATTGAGATGGTTTGGGATGAGCCGGACCGCAGAGTGAAGGAAAAGCAACCAACAAGTGCTCAGCATATGTGGGAACTCCTTCAAGGCTGTTGGAAATGCATTCCAGGTGAAGCTGGTTGAGAGAATGCCAAGAGAGTGCAAAGCTGTCATCAAGGCAAAGGGTGGCTATTTGAAGAATCTCAAATAGAAAATATATTTTGATTCGTTTAAAACTTTTTTGGTTACTACATGATTCCATAGGTGTTATTTCATAGTTTTGATGTCTTCACTATTATGCTACAATGTGGAAAATAGTAAAAAATAAAGAAAAACTCTTGAATGAGAAGGTGTTCTAAAACTTTTGACCGGTAGTGTATATGGATGATTTATAAAGCCAGGCATATTTAACAGTTAGGCGATTGATTATAGACGTAATTAAGTTGGTTTGCTCTCTCCTCAATTTTCTTAAACAATTAGGCTAAGCCCTATTCGCACGGGACTAGTATTACTAGAGAACGTCGGTTATGTAATTATTACCCCAGAATGTCCGTTATTCCAGAGGATGATTCGGACGGGATTCGTTTTTTTTCCCCAAACTGCCCCCGTAATTCTTTTAATTTTTTCCAATTAATTGACAGTTATGACGGAACCCTGTAGGTCCAGGCGATAACAGGACTACACTGATAACTCCAGCTTGGTTCCCAAGTTTCTAAACGATACCATCATTGGTATAGTGTCGCCATAATATTTGAATTGAGCAAGTGTGATCATAATCATTAGGATATTTTAACGATCCGCATTAGACGTCCTAAATTCCCCCCAGCCTTCAGATGTCAGCTAAACAGTGCACTTGCACTTGAGATGCGTTTTTAAGGCTTTGGATACGAAAGTGAACTTATCATTTCCAAATGTTTTGGTCAGTTATATGCTGCTTTGCGATCTATTAACAGCAAGGGAACATTAAATAGGCACAATATTTTTTACTGATCCATTTGGCAATATTCAAATCACACGAACAAAAACATTCACTGTGGAAGTTGATACATGTAGGCCCTTCATATAAGGCTATGCGCAGCACTTTGTTCAATTTATCAAATCAGTTATTGTTTTCTTGCTCAAACCGCGAGCAACATCTGTCAAACTCAGACATTTCTCTCAAAACACAGGGATGTCGATTCGCACGGGACTAGTATTGTCAGAGGACCTTGGAGTTAGCCAAAAAACAGTAGGGTATTCTGGCTGGAATTGTTTACTCTCCTGCCGTGTACAAATTACTGACATGGCAGATTCGGACGAGACTAAAATTATAGACCTGGTGTTTTGTGCTTGTGCACATAATTACATTACCTGACCACCCCCAGTAAAACTAATCCCGTCCGAATAGGGCTTAAGGCAAGGGCTGTTTCCTCATCTCCGCTGCCTCCACTGCATTGTTCTCAATCCCAATATGCTGGTTAATTTTGCTATTATGCACTTAGCAACATAGGGAAAGGTGCCAATTGAATGGCGCACTAAGGATTATGTTTCAGAACCACAGACCGCTACCATACCCAACCCGGGATAAAGTGCGCGTTATAAAATATTATTTTTACATAATATAACCACATACAACTTCAGTATCACATGTCTTAGAGTGATGGACTGTGCCATCCCGTGGCCTCCACAATGGATTAGTTCACTGAGACGAGCGAATCAGACAGGTGTCTTGTGCACTAAAGAAATCTCGGTCGACCAACAGCCTATCGACCAAACAATCGACCAGTCGACTAAATGGGGTCAGCCCTAGTGTCTATATATGGAAAAATACACGTTTTAACATTTCTACCAGTCGATTGGTCGAAAGAACAGACGACTCTTGGTCTACCAATATTTTTTATTTATTCGGGAACAGTCCTAGACTGTGTGATTTGGAGGATATGGTAATACTCCTCAGTTTGACAGGGAGGACCTGACTTTGATTTGTGGAGCACATGGATGCATGCAGACTAGAGAGAAACCGTGAGAGGGAGATCACCAGGAAACGGCCCACAAAAAAACACGAGCCTAGTGTCTGTCCCTCAGTCATCGTTAATTCCCTGTACTCTGACTAGGGCTTGGAATTGCCAGGGACCTCACGATACGATATTATCACGATACTTAGGTGGTGATACGATATGTATTCCGATTCAATACTGTGATTTTTATTGCGATTCACTGTTCCAAACATATTGCTCACCATGTGTCTGCTGCAGAGGGACAAGCGAGAGCCATGATAACGAGTTTTGATCAGTCATGGAAATAAAAGTGCTTAAAACAAATTGGCTCCCTATTTAAAAAGAAGATGGAGAACAATCTATGAAGGAAAAATACTGGAGTTTGCAGGTACAGCCAACTAGCACAAAATAATATTGCGATATCGTCAAAACGATATTATACGACATATCGTCCCCAAAAAATCCCGACATGTGACGATCACTTTTTTTTTTCTTAGCCACCCTTCTTCTACCTCGGACCCCTCTCTCTCTCATATGTTGTTTCAGACTTGGTGTGGAGCAGTAGACTACACAGGGAGCACAGACTAGGAGAAACATGCAGATCCCAACTCCCCAAGATTAATATTTTCCAATCTCTGCAGTGTTTTCATACCTCAGCTAGATAGGGGGTCTGTGGAGATCTCTATCAGCAGTGTGTGTGTTCCAGGCCAGCAGCCCAGGGGTCTGTGGGAAGAGTCAGCAGTTCTGCTGGGGTGGTTTCCATTCCTCTTCATTCTTTTTGTTCAGCCCAGAGTTTGTGTTCAGCTCAGTATTTTAGTTTTATGTGTGTACAGCAGTGTTTCATTCCTGACCTCTTTACTCGTCCTCAGTAAAGCCACTTTCAGTTATGCGAGTCCATCGACACCACAGGAGGCAGGATGGACCCTGTCACCCTCTCGCTCTCACCCTCTGACTCTGAGCCCACTGAGCAGGAATTCACCTCTGTTCTACCCAGTGGGACACTAAGGGATGGATCACACTCTCCTGCTGCAGTCAATGGAGTGGTTTAGTCTTTCCTATGCTATTCTGTGTGTTTGTGCATGCAGTACTAGGTCATACTCAGTACAGTAAATAGCTGCTGGAATCCCTCCAGGTCAAAATGAATACTGTGCTGTTTTTAGTGTGGTGTCAGGGAATTGGCTGTGGTGTAGTGGTGGTATAGGAGCTCTCCAAGTGGGTTTGCACTGGATGCGGTGTCTGCAGTGCTTGGTTTATGTCTACAGAACCTGCATTAGTTGAAGAATGTCGATGTCCATTATGCAGAGGAAAGGTGTGGCTGCTGTGAACTTCCCCTCTAAGCTGAAGAGGAAGTCACACACAGAGGGTGGGGGGGGTAGTTGCTACATCACTATGGCACTGAATGAGACTGTGGTCATGGATTCACAAACTACCGTAACACATAGTCAAACTGCTCTTCCCATACTGATTTTTTTAAATGTAGAACAATATCCACGCCCACACATCCAGATGTAGGTTAAGTCAGGGGTGTTTAGTCTATTTCCAGCTTTTCTTAGCTTGTTTTATTTTTTGCTTGAGAAGCATGGCTGTCTGGATCTGTCCATCTGTAAATGGATAACATCAGGTGTGTGTGTGTGTAATCAGGTTTGACTGACTGACTGAGAAAAGCGCTGGAGAAAACAACAGTCTGATGACACAAAGCTTAGCCTATTCTTTGAACACACCAAACACATTACACCACACCTCTACTTCACACACATTACTTCACACATTAAGCCACACCTCTACTTAACCCAGCACTGAACTCATTGTAACTCTACATTTACATTTACGTCATTTACTAAGGCTTACTCTAAGCACTCAATCCCAGGGCCACTTTACCGCACGCTGGCCCACAGCTATCCCACATTGCTCGCCACCTGACTCTTCACCCTAAAAAAAACAACTCTCCTCTTTATCAGTCCTGCTCTTATACCTCTGCCACCCCAGCTAACCCTGCCTGCCTCAGGAAAGAGTCTAGCCAACTGGCATTCATTAACCTTGATGCTGCAGTAACTACAGTGAAGAGTGTAGGGCGGAGACATAAAGAGCGACAGGTTGAACTCTCGGGGACAGTCCTAAAGTCTGTTCTGCTGTCTTTCTGCTCTCCTCCTCGCCGGCTGCAGTGTAGTGGCCCGTGGCTATAACAAACACTGTGTGGGAGGGAGGGAGGGAGAGCAATATGGTTGTTTTTAGCCATTACCTCATCGGAACGTTTGTTTGTTTTGCCTTTTGCCTGTCACGCTCCGGATCACTGGTGCTCCTCTTAACCCTCTCCTGTCTGCCCCATCCTGATCTGTCTATATGGACTCAAATACACTACCATTTACATACTCTGCCTCGTAACCCAAAGTAATGATAATGATGTTAGTTTGTTCAAGACCGCATTCATGAACCGGTTCGGTGCTGAGCCATCTGATGTAGTCATGACCTCTGAGGCTCTGTTTGAAACCGAGGTAATCCTATGGAGCTGGTTGGAGAGGGTGAGAATACATTTTTTTACCACAGTAGTAGCTAGCAAGTGTTCACCAACCTCTTTCTCTGTGGCTACCCATAATCCCCTGGGTCTTACTGTGAGCCATCTTAATCAGCTGTGACCTGTACGACCCGGTAAAGTACTTCAGGGATGACTAGCTCTAGAAGGCTATCTGCCGTGGCCACAGTGTGTGTATAAATACATGGTGGGCTTAGAGGCTTAAGCCCCCCACAGACAGTACGATTTTAGCCATCTTATGCCATGATTTTGCTGTCCCTGGCTATTGCGAAGTTGTGGGCAAAGTCGTAGGTCGTAAACGATTGTTGATCGTCTTGGCTCGTTCAGTGTGACAGGGTCTACGTCTGACGATTTAAGTACCGCTACGCGCGGTCGTAGGCTCCCACAAAGTTCTGACAGTATCAGATTTATTTTGCCTTTATCGTGTAGTGTGTGGCTGGTGTTAAGAGCCGATCTCGGTGACTGATCAATAGGAACACAACCAGCACTGATTTATTATGCACACAATGATACGATTATTGGGAATAGTCCGAATAATATAATAGTTTGATTTAAACGTTTGCATGCTGTGCAAGAATAATGATTTCCCTAATAATCCTGTTTACATGAAAAGACTGAATCTGACGTACTGTCTGCAAAGGCCTTTAGTTATCAGTGCAGAGCCACTTTCTCCTATGCATATCAAGGCCTCTGTTAGCACTACACAGACATGATAGCCTACTTGAATGCTAACAGTGCGGTTGACCTAGTATTCCTGTAATCCTGTAGTGAGTCACTGGGCTGGACCAAGCAACAGGTCAATGTCACCTGTTTGGGCTCATACACTGCAACCCATAGTCTCATGAACCTACTGGGTCACACCATGAGCTAAGTGGACTTGACCTACAGTTCTCCTCACAGGCCCATCCTACTACAGCTCAACCCAGCCCAGTCCCCAGTCAGTGAAGACAGCTGGCTGCAGCAGGAGTCTAAACCCTAGCATTAGACCACATCCATTACTAACTGTAACAATAAGGAGCTCTGTACTGTTACTTTATGAGCCTGTTTTCCTCTGTGGTAGGCAATAAAAAAGTAAATCAGAAGCACCTCCAGAAGAGCATTCATAGCATGCCTTTTACTACCTTGATGTTGACATTAAAGAGAACACTACTAGTAGGTCAGGAATATAGCCCCAGTCAGCCCGGTCTCCCTGAGGTAAATACTAGGCTATTAGAACCATACCACTCCACTATCAATGTTATTGCCTAAGGCGGACTCTTCGGTGTGTACACGTTGGCACCCTGGTCTCTCGTGCACTCACACACAGTGTGGCCTTATAAGGTGTCCAGTGCCTGCTAGGTCTTGCCAGGATACCGAGTGAGGTTTAGGTTTGTTTTTAGTAGCTAGGAGCCTTAGAGAGCAGAGCAGCACTATGCCCATGTAAGAACACACAGCGCTGTCTGGACTTTGGACTCAGGCACACACACACTGAGGATGACGTGTGTCTGCTATGACTGCATGATCCAGAGTGATATGGAGAGGAAGCTGCATTCATGTCCATTTAGAAATATGACTAAAATCAAATCCTTCTGCTTTCCAGGAGTTTAAACTTTGTGTGTGTGTGTGAAGGTCACAGCCTTCAGCAGTATGACTCATCTCTCTGGATCTGAGGAGCACATTCATTACATAACTATGACCTCCTCTCTCCCTGGGTTGGGCCTGACACACTTCTGTCCTATGGTGGGATGAGTGGTCTGTGTGTGTCCGTGCTGTGGTGGACCCTTGCCTTGAGGGGGAGACCCAGACCCAATGAGACACCGGGTATGTGTGTGAGATGTATGACGGTCGTATGCGTGTGATGGCAGTGTTTCCCCTAGATTATTTGCCAAAATCAACATCTAGGGCAGGGCAATTCAATTACTGAGCAACAATATAAACGCAACATGCAAATATTTCTAAGATTTTACTGAGTTACAGTTCATATAAGGAAATCAGTCAATTGAAATGCATTAATGAGGCCCTAATCTATGGATTTCACATGACTGGTCAGGGGCGCAGCCATGGGTGGGCCTGGGAGGGCATAGGCCCACACACTTGGGAGCCAGGCCCAGCCAATCAGAATGAGTTTTTCCCCACAAAGAGGCTTTAATACAGACAGAAATACTCATCAGCTCTCCGGGTGGCTGGTCTCAGATGATCCCGCAGGTGAAGAAGCCGGATGAGGAGGTCCTGAGCTGGCGTGGTTACATCTTGTCTGCAGTTGTGAGGCCGGTTGGACGTACTGCCAAATTCTCTAAAACAATGTTGGCAGAGAAATTAACATTAAATTATCTGGCAACAGCTCTGGTGGACATTCCTGCAGTCAGCATGCCAATTGCACGCTCCCTCAAAATTGAGACATCTGTGGCATTGTGTTGTGTGACAAAACTGCACATTTTAGAGTTGTCTTTTAATGTCCCCAGCACAAGGTGCACCTGTGTAATGATCATGCTGTTTAATCAGCTTCTTGATATGCCACACCTGTCAGGTGGATGGATTATCTTGGCAAAGGAGAAATGCTCACTAACAGGGATGTAAACAAATGTGTGCAAAAAAAAATCTGAGAAATAAGCTTTTTCCACATGCTTTTTTCCACAAGCCTTTTCCACAAATAACATTTTCCACATGTGATTATTCTTCAGAAGAATTGTATGAAAAAGCAACCACCAATAAAGCACTTTTCTTAAAATTAAATGTTGCCAAAAGTAATTAGAAAAGATGTGGCGGGCGCTCAACAAGCGTGAGTCGAGGTGCAACCTAAACATTTGATCATCATTGAAAAAACACAACACTCGCTCACTATTATTTTGTTTTATTTAAACAAATATTAAAAGGTTCTAAAAGTAATTAGGTCATTTTGAAATCATATGAAAACTAAACATCTCAATAAATAACACAAAGATACAGTATGTCAAATCAGGTAAGGCTGAATTCCAGTCTGAAGGAAGTATGCTTTGAATTAATTTCCCTCAGTCATTAGGCAAGTTTTTTGTCACTCCCTTTTAACGAGTCCTTGTGAGTATCAGAGAGGGAAATAGAAGGCACGTAGGTGTTCCTTAGTCGTAGCTTTCAGAAATGGGGTCATAATATTTTGTAGCTTAAATCGTTCAAACGCAAGAGCCAACTTCATATGAAGAAAAAATAATCTACTTGCCACACAGGCTCTAAAAGCCGCTAGAAACAACACTATAGACAACCACCGTAGTGCTTGTCATTTTGGCACTGAAGTCCGATATTGGCGTAGATGTTTTTATTAATGTTAAGAATTGATCAAAGGGCCAGTATAAATTTGTAAACGGGCCGGATCTGGCCTGCAGACCGCCAGTTGAATATCCCTGATATTCAAATGAAGGTCAGGAAAACACTGTGGCAGGCCCAGGGCTGGAGGCCTGTGTGTGTGTGTATGCTCTTTATGTCTATCTGTATCAGCTGATCTTACCAATCTCTTCAGGCCATAACACATGTAATAACACCACTTAACTCTGTTTGTCTCTGTTTCTGTCTATCAGGATGTGGAGCAGGAAAGGGAGTTACGGACTCATCTCAGCAGAGAGGAGATCAGACAGAAGGTCGAGCTGTACAACTCCTCCTCCAAGGACCACCTCAAAATGACCCTGGTAAGTGACCTCTAACCTCTAACCCCTGACCCCGTCCACTAACCCTTAACCCAACTCCTCCATCAGACACTAGGCTACCTCACAGTTTATCATCCCATGTGACCTAGCTACCCACTTCAACCCCTCATCCCTAAACTAACTTGTATGATGGTCAGGCTCTGATGGTTATCTCTGGCACGAGTGTGTGCGTGGGTCTGCCAGCCTTCAGCTGAACTGTAAAGGCTCATTCAGCGCTCATGTTTTGTGTGTGTTATCTAGCCCCTCCTGATCCACAGCAGAGACGTGACACACACTCACGTTTGCTCACTGCATGCTTCCACCACATCTCTCCGTCTCTGTTTACTAATGATGAGGATGATTGAACAGAAGCTCTTTTGTTGTCCTGACCTCCGCTGTTGTGTAGAAGAGGACCAGCGCTGTCTAACTGACTGCTCAGTGCTCACCAGACTAGCCTGCCTGAGAGATGTGTACCAGATTAATAACTTTAACATACTTATTTCCTTCTGGGGAGGGTTTGAACTAATGTTCTTCTATTCACCTTGATGTCCATATAATCCATGCTATCTGACCTGACAGTCTGTCATCTAAAACATGCAGTCAGGCAGGCATAATGACTGTACTGCTGTCTTCTGTCTTCTTTAGAATGTCTTTGTTTGCTCCCACACCCATTTCCTTCTCTCTCCTCTCTTTGGGTCCCCAGTCTGTCCATCTATCACAACCACAAGTCACTCTTTGTTCTCTTTCTCTATAGAAACATAACTATGTAACGGTGCGGGTGCGTCGTGGCATTCAGCTGATTGAGGAGTTTCAGCTCTCATCACCTTTAATGACCCTCTCTCTCTTCTCTCTCTTACCCTTCTAAACACTCTCTCTCTCACACACACGGTCCTGTCCCCAGGGGGGTGGCATGTGAAGTAATGAGCTTAGAGATGGGTGCACAAATCTGGGCTCCATCTGGTAACTAATATTACCATCCCCACCCCACCCCATTATCATCTGCTCATCTCTCACACAGACATGACCGAGCTTACTGTGTGGTGTGCGAACATGCGTGCTTGTGTACATGTTCTGTGTTGCCCTGCCCTATCCTGACCTGTCTCTCTCTCCCTGTAGAACCCAAGTGGTGTGTATACAGGGTTCATCAAGGTGCAGTTGGAGCTGAGGAGACCCATCACAGTACGAGAGGGCCGAGGAGGTGGGGGAGGAGAGGAGGCTTTCTACATCCCCCGGGGGGCGACTAACACTCTTCACATCAGCTCCAACAACACCGTACGACAGGTGGGTCTCACTCACACACACACACACACACAGTTACGAACAACCTGCGGAAAGTATTCAGACCCCTTTACTTTTTCCACATTTTGTTACGTTAGTCTTATTCTAAAATGGATTAAATATTAGTTTTTCCTCTGCAATCTACACATAAAACCCATTAATGACAAAGCGAAAACAGGTTTTGAGATTTTTGTAAATGTATTGAAACTAAAAAACAGAAATACCTTATTTACATAAGTATTCAGAACCTTTGCTATGAGACTCGAAATTTTGCTGCAGTGCATCCTGTTTCCATTGATCATCCTTGATGTTTCTTCAACTTGATTGGAGTCCACCTGTGGTAACTTCAATTGATTCGACATGATTTGTCTATATAAGGTCCCACAGTTGACAGTGTATGTCAGAGCAAAAACCAAGCCATAGGTCAAAGAAATTGTCTGCAGAGCTCCGAGACAGGATTGTGTCGAGGCACAGATCTGGGGAAGGGTACCAAAAAATGTCTGCAGCATTGAAGCTCCCCAAGAACACAGTGGTCTCCATCATTCTTAAATGGAAGAAGTTTGGAACCACCAAGACTCTTCCAAGAGCTGGCCGCCCGGCCAAACTGAGTAATCGAGGGAGAAGGTCCTTGGTCAGGGAGGTGACCAAGAACCCGGTGGTCACTCTGACAGAGCTCCAGAGTTCCTCTGTGGAGATGGGAGAACCTCCCAGAAGGACAACCGTCTCTGCAGCACTCCAACAATCAGGCCTTTATGGTAGAGTGGCCAGACGGAAGCCACTCCTCGGTAGAAGACACATGACAGCCAACTTGCAGTTTGCCAAAAGGCACCTAAAGACTCAGACCATGAGAAACAAGATTCTCTAGCCTGATGAAACCAAGATTGAACTATTTGGCCTGAATGCCAAGCGTCATGTCTGGAGGAAACCTGGCACCATCCCTAAGGTGGAGCATGGTGGTGGCAGCATCATGCTTTGAGGATGTTTTTCAGTGGCAGGGACTGGGAAACTATTCAGGATCGAGGCAAAGATGAACAGAGCAAAGTACAGAGAGATCCTTGATGAAAACCTGCTCCAGAGCACTCAGGACCTCAGACTGGGGCAAAGGTTCACCTTCCAACAGGGCAACGACCCTAAGCACACAGCCAAGACAACGCAGGAGTGGCTTTGGGACAAGTCTCTGAATGTCCTTGAGTGGCCCAGCCAGAGCCTGGACTTGGACCCAATCTAACATCTCTGGAGAGACCTGAAAATAGCTGTGCAGCAAAGTTCCCCATCCAACCTGACAGAACTTGAGAGGATCTGCAGAAAGGAATTGGAGAAACTCCCCAAATACAGGTGTGCCAAGCTTGTAGCGTCCAACCCAAGAAGACTCGAGGCTGTAATCGCTGCCAAAGGTGCTTCAACAAAGGACTGAGTAAAGGGTCTGAATACTAATGTAAATGTGATATTTCAGTTATTAATATTTAATACATTTGCAAAAATTTCTATTAACCTGTTTTTGCTTTGTCATTATGGGAGTATTGTGTGTAGATTTATGAGGGGAAAAAAACAATTCAATCAATGTTAGAATAAGGCTGTAACGAAATGTGGAAAAAGTCAAGGGGTCTGAATACTTTCCGAATGCACTATACTTATATATAATTTGTTTTTATCAGGTGATCCAGGCCCTGTTGACGAAGTTCACCGTAGCTGACAATCCTGCTAAATATGCCCTGTACAAACGCTGCCGCAGGGAGGAGCAAGGTAAGTCTGTCTCGTGTGTTTGCAGTCTGTCTTTCTAGCTAGAGGAGACACTGTAGTTGGCTTGTCATGCCATAGATGCCAGACTGTGTTAGCTGGCTGGATAGCATACATGCCAGAACTGGGCTGGTGTCTGAACATAGTGTGTATTCATGATAGTTTTCGAGTGTGCGTGGGTATCTGTAGGGTCAGGGTGTGTATTTATAGATGCCTCGCCCTCATGTTGCTGAATGCCACAGGGCTGTCCCCACACACATTGTCAGGAACCCCGCCAGGGTGGAACACACACACAGCGTGTCCAGCAGCAACTGTTCTCCCACCAACCAGCCATCCTGTGGAGAGAAGGCCCCAACAGGTTTCAGTACAGTTTACAGTAGCAGCCTGTGTCTTGGTCTTCTGTTCCCCCCCCCTACTGTTACAAAAGTTATTCCTATGTTAGGGCTCTGCTAGATGAGATTGAGAGGGCAGGTGAGGTTCAGCCTGGACCTTAACCCGGCTCCGAGTCAGACCCCAGAAGACGAGCAAAGATGGATCAGTCCCTATACCACAGAGCAGGAGATTAGCCCCTATACTGAAGACTGGGTGGGGGCAGGGTTAGAGGGGTAGGGATAGAGTTGTCGGGAATAGGAGTGCAGGTAGATTATGGCTTATGATTGCGAATAGGTCAGACTTCCAGCCGAGTAGCAGTGCTGTGTGCAGTCTGTCTAATCTCTTCTCACAATGTTGTGTAATCTGACAGCTCTTCATTATGTCAAGGGAAATGCACACACGCTATCACCGACCTCTAGGAGAGTGTGACTCAGACGTTGTAGTGTGTGTTTGCGGTGTTTTCCCCTCTGTAAATGAAGAGGGGAGGACTGAGCCTGTTAATGAGATGGTCTGTCTAGACAGAGTCTATACTGTGGTCCAATTAAAAAAACACAGTTTAGTTCCACTAGCTGATAAATACCCTCCTCAAACAGATGCACCCCCTGGGTGGAGTAGGCATAGGACTGGGGGCGTGTGTGCTGGGCTGTGTATGGCACGGACTCAGTTCGTAATTGTTAGGATTTGTAGTGTCATAAATCTGACCGTAGATCTGTGGTTACTGTGTGATATATGAGGAAGGGTAAGTGTATGCATGTCTATGTAACTTGTGACCCATTCCAATGGTGGTGGAAACGTATAGCCCCTGCCTGCAGCAAGAAATACCATGGTGATGTCAGAATCCGGTGTGGCATGGAATGCGGATCTCTCCCAGTCCTGCTGAGATGGACGGCTAAATTACATCTTGTACATAGCTGTGTAGAGCTAGTCTCTTTCACCAGCTGTGTTTAATAGGGGAACCTATAGGCTGTTTAGGCTAGAGGGACAGGGACAGGCTGAGAGCATGTGGTGGTGTGTGCTGGTGTCTCTGGATAAGGAACATGCGGGAGGGTTTAGGGCTGCCTGGTGACTGACTCGCATGAAAGACTTCTCTCTCTGATCTGACAGGGCTGCTGTGGTTATTTACCCCTATGTGTGTGCATTTCTGTGTGCGCCTACCCCATGGCATGGAGCCAACACTTTTATCCAGGGTTGTTTTTCCATGCACACACACCCACCACTTTGGCCTATCCCCAGTTTCCCAAGCTCTAATTAGTGTTTTACAGCACATCTTCCCCCTGACTCAACACTGAACCCTTTTGTAGAATGCCCTGTGATCATGCATTATAACCACAGCATATTATGGTACTAATGTTCTAGCTGGTGTGCGTGTTTCCTCCTGTAGTGTACGTGTGTAAGCTGTCAGAGGGAGAGCATCCGTTGTTCCTGCGTCTGCTAGCAGGTCCCAACACCGACACACTGGGCTTCGTCCTGAGAGAACAGCAGACTGGCCAGGTCATGGTAAGACGCACACTGAACTCCCACACACTAAACACACACATTCACACTCTCTGTATTAACCATACCTCTCTCTCCTCTTCCAGTGGGATGCGTTCTCCATCCCAGAGTTGAGTAACTTCCTGAGGATGCTGGAGAAGGAGGAGACTGAGCGGGTGTGTTCCGTGACGCGTCGCTACGACAACTACAGACTGAAACTGCAGGAGGCCATGAGAGCAGCAGAGGGGCCGGGGTAATGCTACTACTGTCCCTGAAGGAGAGAGGACAGGGGGGCTGGGAGCCAGAAGCCAGTCTGAGGGACACTGAGGGGGAAACTGGTCCAACCTGATTCAGAAACAGGAGAGAGAGAGAGACAGACAGCTGGAATATACTCCAAATTATACCAGTGGACCCCGTGTGCAATACACTGGATGGACACTAGAGGGCAGCTGTGGTTCCACTGCACTCAGCCTGGACCTGCACTAAGCATTGAGGAGCACTCAAGACTCAAGAGACTAGCTCCATGTCTTTACGGAGTAGGCCTACTGCCATATCCACTCTTCTGTTCACTCTCTTTCGATCCTTCTGGTTAATGCAATCTCTGTAGTTAGTTCCATTTTTTAATACTTTTAGAATGGCCTTTTTTTGAACATGTGAATGATTCAAACCCCAAAATATTTGAATCAATTTATTTTGACTTTTTATTTAATTGGCAGATGCAATGGTTTGTACATATTGTGTATTGTCGTTTTAATTTATGTGGGTGAAGCTTTGTTCTGTTTCTTTGCTGAAATGGTTTTTAATTGTATTCTATGGAAGCGTGGCAACAATCCAACACCCGAGTGGGAATAGGGACCGAGTCGTGTGCTCACTGATTTCTCTCACAGGGGTTAATGCAGAGAAAACACATCGGCAAAATATAGGCTAGACTGGTTTATCATGGAAATGACACAGTATTCAAGGTAACTGAGAGATGGACAAGATGAAATAGAAACTAGAAAAGACAAATGATACAGACCAGAATATGAGTGGTGTATTTAAACTGAAGGTTGTGATGGTCTTGAAAGGAGAAGCAGATTTGGTGCAGTTTGTACAGTCTGAAAGTCACAAGCTGTTTGGGGTGTAGAGGTCAGGATGAAAGTGTGACAACTTGTGACCAGACTGACAGTTAGTGGAGTTTGAGCTGAACGCCCACCTCTGACCTCTGGACAGAGACCAGTCGTATCAGAGTAGAAGGGGTTAATGCTGTGAGAATGGAAAGATTTTTGGAAGTTGACTAATGGTTTTAGAGGAAGTAGAAAATAAACTTAGAAGACTGTGTAAAAAATAAATAATGAGAAAGGAAATTAAATGGATGTGACAAATTAGGGTTTTTGGAGTTCCATGTTAAAAGAGAGATTGTCTATGCCGAGAAAGTCTAGTTCAGAGTTTAAACCACCTCTGAAGCCAGTACCAGGCCTGTGGCCACAGATAACATGGTTAGGAATAGCAGCGAAAGACAACGGCTATATTGTTCCTGTTCCTCTGGTATTCATTTAACATAGCTACATTTGTCCTAATCTGCTGTAGGGCTGGTAGGATAAATGCTTTAAATCAGCCTTACATTGCACCAGTGTGTGAACTCTGTGAACCCTGAAGTTCTCTGCATGGGACATCAGGAAATGGATGCGCTAACAGACCAAAGAGACTAGTCCGTTATTGTAGAGGTGAAGTCACATGGCCATGTGTTCAGTCTCCTAGACTAGGAGAGAGCAGCTAGAACCTGTCACATTTTGCCTCCCCCTCCTTGTCCGTCTCTCAGTACTGTATTTACATCTCTACCAGGGTTGTATCCATCTTCTGGGGGTTACAGGGGAGGTCATTTGAACAGAGACTATACTTTGGGATAGATGGACAATCAATTGAATGGACAGAGCAACTAGTGAGTGCATTTTAGGCCATCAACCCTCGGCACAGTATCAAAACACACTGACCAAATGCAAGAATATATGTTGAATTGGCATGTTTAAAAGCCTTGTTGTTTATCTGCCAGTACTATATTACGTTTTTCTGATGGTACTGCATTAGTTGCCATGTTTATCTCCATAGAAGAGTAGTGGTGTGGTTATATAGCCCCACTTTATGGATAAATGCTGTAACTGTATCCTCTCGGTCTTCACCTGCATCAAACTGTTGATCGAAAGCCTGTTGGTGATATGATGTGCTGTTGCTTTCTGTTTTCCTGATCGATAACCAAAGATATTATAAAATGTTTAGATTTATTTTAGGTTTTGCCTGGTGCAAGATCCTAGAGGCCTCATAAAAATTAAGGGAACATTTATAGCTAGAGTTTATTATAAGGGGTTACACACCCAGAACTTAATTTACGTTTAAACACTGGGTTAATGGAATTAGATATGGTAAAATAATCTATTACGTTTTATATCCTAAATCCATTATTAAATTTGCAAAGCACAGTGTTACATTGACAGATACCACTGGCCCTGTGTTAGCTAGTTATAGGTCTGCACATCTCAGCATCAGGGCTTTGAATCAGACAAGTTAAAATGTATCTACAGCTTCTATCGGACCAGTTGAATATCTCCTGAAGCTTCTGGGCACTTTACCTTTAATTCAGGGATTTTTCTTTTGCTTTCCTCTCCTTTGTTTCTAAAACTTGACATTTATACAAGCTCCTGTATGATTTGTTAGACTGTGAAAGTTGGTTTATCTTCAATTGTATCATGTGATGGGCAGTGCTATCTGGTTAGCTTTGTTAAGTCTGGGTTGTAGGAATATGACTGCTATAGTAACCCATATAAATATACTATAATGCATGCATTATCTACACTAATGCATATAGGCCTACTATGTGGCTCTTATGGAACCATAGGCCAGTACTGTTGAACTTGGAAATGTATGAACCGTTTATATAGATATACATAAACTAGATAGATGCATAACTGTTATTTGCCAAAGATCGCTGGCCCCCCTGTCTCTTCAGCTATGCTCTTGTAATGTTCTATGCTGCAGTGCTGTATGCAGAGACTGTAAGATCTATACCTGGAATGGTTCTGCTGACAGTGTTCGTGATGGTTCAGTACCAGGATGTGGATGAACACAGCAGCTGTGGGCTCAGCTTTGAGGAGACGGGATGGAACCAACATGGTATAATGAAAAAAACATTGCTATATTCTATTTATATTATTGATGATGCAGGTTTATTTTTGTAAGTAACTGTTTCTTTTTGGATTGTTACCAAATGTGGCCTTTACTTCTCTAAAGGACTGAATTCATCTATTAAAGTTTTAAATTGTACAAAAAATATAGAACATTGGTGAATCCAATGATCTGGCCACTGAATCAAAAATGTAGAACTATAATGATGAGACCTGACTGCACTCCTATAGGCAGTTCCTAAAGGGGCAATCATCAGTTGCTACGTAAAATGAAGTATTCGTCTACGATCTCCACCTCCTCTCCAGTACACATAGCTGTACTGGGGGTAGCTCATTCAGGTGTTGCGGTAAAACAAGGGCTGTGTGGCATAACAGTGGCATCCGCAGCAATAGGTGGGGTGGACAGCGGTCACCCAACTGTATGTCACCTGCTCATAGATCTCAGGTTTCTTCACCGGCATGTCTTTGCCTGTGCACCCGGGGTCTCAATCTTCAGGAGGGTCTTTGGAGTGAGCTTCTTCCCATGGACCTCGGAGGCTGCCCCAGTATCAAGCAGGCTCTTCTTCATCTCGCAGATCTCTGTAGTCAGGTCCTTTGCGTAGGCGGCTGTGACCTCAGAGCTCAAAACGTACAGGTCCTGCGCTCTTCTTCGTCTCCCGAGCCCGAATAGCATCTCGTTGATGTTATCGGGAGGGCTCTCTAGGGGCGGGCCAGGGGCAGCCTAGACCATCTTCTCCCCAATTGGATACATTTAATCACTTTCACATTTATTTACAGAGCTATGGATGTGAGGACCATCCATGATATCAAAAGTATAGTTTTAACCACGTTTTGAGGCTATACAGTGTTTACATTGGAGTAAAGCAAGCTTATATTTTGGGTTCTTATGGGGTACGACAGGACAGTTAAAGGGCAACTCCACCACTTTTCAACTTAATTTTCATTATTTCCAGCGCAATACTAGTGTTAACATATGTGAAACGGTGCATTTCTACGTTTTGTTGAAAAAATTAAGCTAAATAGTTCTACATTTTAAAAACAGTGATTTTCAAATAGTGAGATTTGCGGTGACAATGGGAGCACGAAAATTCCCTCCCTTGGGCTAGAAACTCGTTGCAGGTTTTGAAAATCAGTTTTTTACTTTTAATCCTACCCAGTGATGTCACAGAAGCAATTTTTTAGGACCTTATCTTTTTAAACACCGATAATAGAAGCACGCCGTTTACACATACAGTATGTAGACACTGGTTTGGTGCTAGAGATGATGAATATGAGGTTGAAAAGTGGCGGAATTGCCCTTTAAACTAAGCTCATGAAGCATTTATATGAAAGAATGGCGCCGGAGGAGATGGCTGCCGTTTTACGGCCCTCTAACCAATCGTGCTATTGTGTGTGTGTTTTCGCGTTATTTGTCATTTATTCTGTATATAATGCCACCGTCTCTTATGACCAAAAAGAGCTTCTGGATATCAGGACAGGGATTATTCACCTCGTATTGGACGAATATTTTTTTCTTCAACGAGTTGGACGCAAAGGATATTCAACAGACACCCGACAAGGCCCAAATCCCCGTCATTCACATGAGAAAGAGACAGAGATATCGTGGACGTAGGTCGGGGTGCCTTGTAAGGATCCGAAGGCGAGCGAGTAATCTGCCTCTTCCATCAATCCTATCAGCCAACGTACAATAATTGGAAAACAAAATGGACGACCTAAGATCAAGGATATCCTACCAACGGGACATTAAAAACTGAAATATCTTATGTTTCACGAGTCATGGCTGAACGAATAGAACGGCAGACTCCGGTAAGACAAGGGGTGGCGGTCTATGTATATTTGTAAAAAACAGCTGGTGCATGACATCTAATACTAAGGAAGTCTCAAGGTTTTGCTCGCCTGAGATCGAGTATCTCACAAATCGCTGTAGACCACACTATTTACCAAGAGAGTTTTCTTCTATATTTTTCGTAGCTGTCTATTTACCACCACAAACCGATGCTGGCACTAAGATTGCACTCAATGAGCTGTATAAGGCCATAAGCAAACAGGAAATCGCTCATCCAGAGGCAGCGCTCCTAGTGGCCGGGGACTTTAATGCAGGGAAACTAAATTCCGTTCTACCTAATTTCTACCAGCATGTTAAATGTGCAACCAGAGGAAAAAAAACTCTACACCACCTTTACTCCACACACAGAGACTCGTAAGAAGCTCGCCCTCCATTTGGCAAATCTGACCATAATTCTATCCTCCTGCTTATAAGCAAAAACTAAAGCAGGAAGCACCAGTGACTCGCTTAATAAGAAAGTGGTCAGATGACGCACATGCTAAGCTGCAGGACTGTTTTCCTAGCACAGACTGGAATATGTTCCGGGATTCTTCCGATGGCATTGAGGAGTACACCACATCAGTCACTGGCTTCATCAATAAGTGCATCGATGATGTCGTCCCCACAGTGACCGTACGTACATACCCCAACCAGAAGCCATGGATTACAGGCAACATCTGCACTGAGCTAAAGGGTAGAGCTGCCGCTTTCAAGGAGCGGGACTCTAACCCGGACGCTTATAAGAAATCCCGCTATGGCCTCCGACGAACCATCTAATAGGCAAAGCTTCAATACAGAACTAAGATACTACATATTGAATCGTACTACACCGGCTCTGACGCTCGTCGGATGTGGCAGGGCTTGCAAACTATTACAGACTACAAAGGGAAGCACAGGCGCGAGCTGCCCAGTGACACGAGCCTACCAGACGAGCTAAATCACTTCTATGCTCGCTTCGAGGCAAGCAACACTGAAGCATGCATGAGAGCATCAGCTGTTCCGGATGACTATGTGATCACGCTCTCCGTAGCCGATGTGAGTAAGCCTTTTAAGCAGGTCAACATTCACAAGGCCGCAACACCATTATCCCAGAAATGTGCATACCGCCCCAACAGATCCACAGATGATGCAATCTTTATTGCACTCCACACTGCCCTTTCCCACCTGGACAATAGGAACACCTACGTGAGAATGCTATTCATTGACTACAGCTCAGCGTTCAACACCAGTGCCCTCAAAGCTCATCACTAGGCTAAGTACCCTGGGACTAAACACCTCTCTCTGCAACTGGATCCTGGACTTCCTGATGGGCCACCCCCAGGTGGTAAGGGTAGGTAACAACATATCTGCCACGCTGATCCTCAACACAGGGGCCCCTCAGGGGTGCGTGCTCAGTTCCCTCATGTACTCCCTGTTCACCCATGACTGCATGGACAGGCACGACTCCAACACCATCATTAAGTTTGCCGACGACACAACAGTGGTAGGCCTGATCACCGACAACGATGAGACAGCCTATAGGGAGGAGGTCAGAGACCTGGCCGTGTGGTGCCAGGATAACAACCTCTCCCTCAACGTGACCAAGACAAAGGAGATGATTGTGGACTACAGGGGAAAAAAGAGGACTGAGCACGCCCCCATTCTCATCGACAGGGCTGTAGTGGAACAGGTTGAGAGCTTCAAGTTCCTTGGTGTCCACATCACCAACAAACTATCATGGTCCAAACACACCAAGACAGTCATGAAGAGGGCATGACAAAGCCTATTCCCCCTCAGGAGACTGAAAAGATTTGGCATGGGTCCTCAGATCCTCAAAAAGTTCTACAGCTGCACTATCGAGAGCATCCTGACAGGTTGCATCACCGCCTGGTATGGCAACTGCTTGGCCTCCGACCGCAAGGCACTACAGAGAGTAGTACATACGCCCCAGTACTTCACTGGGGCCAAGCTTCCTGCCATCCAGGACCGCTATACCAGGCGGTGTCAGAGGAAGGCTCTAAAACTTGTCTAAGACTCCAGTCACCCTAGTCATAGACTGTTCTCTCTGCTACTGCAAACTGGACCGGAGAGTCAAGTCTAGGTCCAAAAGGCTTCTCAACAGCTTCTACCCCCAAGCCATAAGACTCCTGAACAGCTAATCATGGCTACCCGGACTATTTGCATTGGCCCCCCCATCCCACCCCTTCTTTTACGCTGCTGCTACTCTGTTTATTATCTATGCATAGTCACTTTAATAGCTCTACCTACATGTACAGTGGGGAGAACAAGTATTTGATACACTGTCGATTTTGCAGGTTTTCCTACTTACAAAGCATGTAGAGGTCTGTAATTTTTATCATAGGTACACTTCAACTGTGAGAGACGGAATCTAAAACAAAAATCCAGAAAATCACATTGTATGATTTTTAAGTAATTTATTTGCATTTTATTGCATGACATAAGTATTTGATCACCTACCAACCAGTAAGAATTCCGGCTCTCACAGACCTGTTAGTTTTTCTTTAAGAAGCCC